GACAGATTTCGGAGTTTGGAAATGATAAATATCTCAGGTGGTTCTTGTTTGGTCCGGCAGTTGCAGTCTCAAGCGTTATCAGCGGTGGCCTGGGTTTTATTGTGATCGCTTATCCAGTTCATTGACAGAGATGTAGATTTGTGCATTTCTTTCCCTCATTTATTGCTTGGGTTTTGTTTTCCCTTTGACAAAATCATTCAATGATGGGTTTTCCGGTGGGTTGCCTTGGTTTTGCTTTTCCGGTGGGTTGCCTGAGTTTTGTTTTTCCGCTGGTGCAACAAGGAAGAAGAAGAAAAAGAACATTTAGCTTAAAATGACCATTTTGCCCCCATGAATAAACAATTTTAAAAGAATTACGTTTTTTCGGTAATATTTGTCCGGGAGGGCCAAATATGTTAAAAATGCATAGTTACGGGATTAAATTGATAGTTTTTAAAGTCAAGTACTCAAATTAACAAGACCACAATAGTCACAGGATCAAAAGTGTAATTTTCTCTTTAAAATGTAAAATAGTAAATCATTTTAGTACAAGAATAACTAGCTAGGAAAATCGAAGATTTAAACAATAAGCATATGCCCAAGTGTATATTATATCTTATTTTGTTAATGTAAAACATCCTAGGAGGATTTTCGATCAGTAGAATATTAGTCATTATGAGTTTTCTTGAAATATTTTATATAATCAAATCTCATATATTATATCAAAATAATCATATACCTTCACTATAAGGCAAATGCTATATATATAGGTGAGAATAATAATGTCAATACATAATTTTTAAATCGTAATTGAAGTTTGTGAGAATAGAGAAAAATGTTATGTAAAAAGTAAGTCTTGTTTTATATTTTTTAGTATAACCCTAATTCTATATATTTTACAATCATATAAGGAAATGAGTTCTATTAATGTTTAAATTTACTCAAAAAAAGAAAATAGTCATTATTTATATAAATAAATAATTATAACAATTCAAAATTATTTGCAAAAAAGGGTTCGATCAATAATGCCTTTTCATTGTAATGAGGGGTCGCATTATAATTAACAGCTAGTGTATAGCACCTATACATCGATGGTACGGTGCATTAAATATTTTTTCTTATTATATTGTAAAAATTAATATTTTTTAAAAACTTTTTTTATTTAAATTCTCAATAATATAATTTTTTCCATGCATCGATTAATAAAATACTAATTCTATAACTCATCTCCTGCAAATTGCTTAAGAAATGCAAATGTGATGATCCGGAATAGTGTATCATTACAAGTGCCTCAATATTATGATTTGTGGATGATAAAAAAAGGAAGGCCAAATTAAAATTATTGTTAAAATGTATTCCATGAGTATAGGGATTCTTTGGTGTGGCGCAATTTTCCCTTGTTCTTCTCTCTTCCATTCATTCATTTATTTATTCACCTGAGAAAATTAGAAAGGCATACAAAATCCAACATTATATTATTATATCACAACTTTAGAAGACAAGAAGATGTCATCCCAACAACTGCAAAAACAGCCTTTCATCCACCACGGACACTCAAAGTCAGACACAAAACCAGTTGAGTTCATACTTTTTTCTTCTTTTTTTTTTTCTTCTTTTTTTTTTACCTTAATATTATTTATATTTATCTTGTTGTAATCATCCGATATTAATTAGCACTTGAAACCCTCGGGTTAGGTGCTTTCCAACTCATCCTGATACCCGAAAATCATTTCTGGAACTTTGGGTAACTCAATTAGTCCTCATCGGGTGGTGGCTGGATTGAGGGACAAGGACTCCCTAGTTAGCATCATGATTTACCCCTCACAATCCAGTCGGGTTAGGGTGTAGGGCCCTCGGGTAACTCAATTAGTGCTCATCAAGTGGTGGCCGGATTAAGGGGTAAGGACTCGGGATTGAGCCCCTCGGGATTGAGCCCCTCGGGATTGAGTCCTAACCGCAGGCACTGGTCCCCCACTTAAAGACCGTTGGGACCGTTGAGTCATCATGATTTACCCCTCACAATTCAGTCGGTAAGGACTTGAGATCAAGCCCTAGCAGCAGACATTAATCCTTCCACTTAAAGACCGCTTGAGCCATTATGATTTACCCCTCACAATCCTGTCGGGTTAAGGTGTAGGGCAACCGGACTTTATTACATTAAATTAAATTTTATATACATATTAATATATATTTTTGAATTGTATATATAGGGTGTTCGAAGCGATCATGATAAGTTTTGTGATCAACTGCATGAGCAGTTGATTGAAAACCATGACATACACAAGGAGGACAAAGACAATGCTATTTCATACAAAAAAGAATTGCTGAGAAGAAGAAGTATGAAGTAATACTTCATAGCTCCATTGAGTTCTGAGAATTTACTGCAACATCGGCATGCTTTATCAGCTGAAGAATTATAATAATTATAATAATTGGAGACAATAATAAAGTGTTCATTTCTGATCTCCTATTTCATTATTATCTTTTGTATTTTGGTTTCAATTATGTTAATTATTATGCATTAAAAGTGGTTTCTTAGGACTAGTATGTTTTGTTGGGTTTTGTAATTGCAAGATTATGTGTTTGCTACACGGAGTAATTAATAATACAACACAAAGTACCAATTATATTCTTTAAATCCAAAGGGTAATTCATGTGGTAATGAACTTTTTGTTGGAACGATCCTTACGATATTTTAAATTTGATTCTCACAAGTGACAACTTTAAATTTGATTCCCACAAATGACAATTTTTTTTAAGTTAATCTTTATGCCTCTCGGAACAAATCAGAATTAGTTGGGTGAAATTGAATTGCAAGATGGACGGAGATTGACCGACCTAACAGGATTTAGGAGATTTAGGCTTCTGAACTCGATAGCTGCCATTGGCAAGTGGGTATTTTATCACTGAAACATTGATGAAAGTTAATACTGCAGTAACAAAAATTGAAAATGTATAGTGTATATAGTAACTAAAAAACAAAGTTCTTAAAATATAATTAAAATGATACATTAGCATTACTATAATGAAACGAGTATGAGTGAAAAATAAAGTGTACTTTCAAATAAAATTGAAATGTAATTAAAATGATATTGTGTCTTTATTTCATAGTTGCTACATAGCCCATGGTCCCCAGTACAATTTGTCACTTTAAAAAGTTAAGCTATGAGGGAAACTTGCTCTTTTGCATTAATTAATTTTGGCTCAGTTTGATAACATAGATAGTTATCAGTTAGTTTTGGCTTGTTTAACTTGGTTAAATAGTCAATATGACTTTTCAATTAATTTTTTGTAATATAAAAAAATTGCTCAAAAATATTTTTTTTGATAAATTTTTTGAAAAAATAAATTATGTACCCTAAAAATTTTTTTGCACCAGTTATGTAAGCTAATTTACCAAATATCTTTTTATAATCAGCTAATAATATCAGCTAATCAATTCCGTCAACCCAATCCGCTAATAAAAATAGCTATTATTTGTAAAACATCACGAAAGAATGATAAGATGGTAAACTTCCCTAACTTGCAAGGTCAAACCCAGAAGCAATGGAGAATTTTCTATATCTATAACATATATAAATGTTAGAGAACTCAAATGGAGATTAGAGTAAGAAGGAGCAGTAGGAGAAGGAGAAGAATCAGGGGGAAATGACTGAAATGTGAAGGTAGAAGCATACATTTCTCAAAATGTGACTCTACTAAAAGTTGACAAAAATATGAAAAGCACGTTCGAGAGATGCGTTTGATGTCAGAATTGGTCAAATAAAAAACGCAAGCGTTTTGTTTTGTTTTGTTTTGTTTTTTTTTTTGTTTTTTTGTTTTTTTTTAATGGTCGCCGGCAATCAGCAACGCCTAGCTCTTGATTCATGATGCTCTCCGGCAATTCGAGAAGAGCTACAAAGCTGCTGATGAAAATCCTTTCAGTTTTTTCAGATATTTCAATCTGTCTATGTGCATCAAATCTAAATGCTCGAGAAGTTGCAGTCGATAAAGCAGCTTCTCCGCCGGCAACACCGGTCACCGGTTTCTCCAGCAAAGGAGAAGCCGAGAAGGCCACTGATACTACCAAATAAATGTAAAAGCAATGAACAACCATGAAATTAAAGGGAAAGGGAAAGGATCACAAGCATGGCAAAGAAACAAAGGAGGCCATGGATGAAAGCACCAAACAAGTATGAGTTTAATTTAATTTAGTGGGAATCAAGTTAAATGACAAAAAAGAAAACACATGTATCCATTGACAGCATGGGAACAAGGAGAGTTGTCTCTACCATTAGAGACTTCGTTCGACTAAAGGTACAATATTATTATCACAACAAAGAATTGAATGCAGTATACAAGAAAGTTTGATGCTGACCAACCTTGCTAGCTATTCAAATGGCCAATTAGAGTACTCGCTATAATGACTATATTCCTAGCTGGTATCTATGTTGGTTTCAGGCATTGCAACTGCAGTATGGCGTGCATCAAAGCGAGACGAACCAAAGGGCCACAGGAAAGACCATGGTCTCCTCCTTTGTTTCTTTGCCATGCTTGTGATCCTTTCCCTTTCCCTTTCATGTTATTCATTGCTTTTACATTTATTTGGTAGTATTTGGTGTCAAATTTGCAACCAGTGGCCTTCTCACTGGAGAAACAGGTGACTCGTGTTGCCACGGAGAAGTCCCTTTATCGACTGCAACTTCTCGAGCATTTGGATTTGATGCACATAGACAGATTGGAATATCTGGAAAAACTGAAAGGATTTTCATCAGAAGCTTTGTAGCTCTTCTCGAATTGCCGAAGAGCACCATGAATCAAGAGCTGGGTGTTGCTGGTTGCCGGCAACCATTAAAGAAAAAAAAAAAAAAAACAAACAAACAAACATAAGGCAAGTGGGACTTGCGTTTTTTATTTGGCCAATTCTGACATCAAACGCATCTCCCAAATGTGCTTTTTATATTTTTGTCTAACTTTTAGCAAAGTCACATTTTAAGAAATGTATACTTCTATCTTCACATTTCAGTCATTTTCCCGAAGAATCAGCATATGCAATTGAAAGAAGGAGAGGGAATGAATCAACCTAGACTGAGCGAGCGAGCTGCCTCCCTCTACAATTCCTAATGATTTGCAGTTTTTCGCCATCTCTGATTTCTTACGCAGCAATGATGAAGTCAATCCGTTCTCACTCTTCTCTTCGTGAGAAAATCAACCCTTCATCTCTTCCTCGCTTAACCTTAGCAGTAACAACGCAACTTCAGGACCACCATCGCTCGCTGTCTCCTCCTTCTTCGCCATCTTCGTCGACAAGCCTCGGCTCCTCAAATGAAGAAATCGTTATTTCACTGGTGAAATCGAGTACCCAACGTTGCCATCTTCTCCAAATCCATGCCTACCTCCTGCGCACTTGTCTCCTTCGTAACCACCTGGTTTTCTCGGCTTTCTTGTCCCGCCTCTCGCTCCCGCCGTTTCAGGATTTGGGTTATGCCCGGAGAGTGTTCGATGAATTGCCAAGGCGCAATGTGTCATCTTACAACACTATGATCAGGGCTTATGCAATGGGAAATTTAGCGGAAGAAGGTTTGGAGCTGTATCGAGAAATGCTTTCTTTGGGTATTTGTCCTGTCTCTTCGTCATTGTCGTTTGTAATTAAATGTATTGTAAAGATTGGGTGTTTGTTTGGAGGGATGCAGGTTCACGCTCAGGCTCTGAGAGATGGGCATCAATCTGATAGTTTATTGCTCACTGGGTTGATGGACTTTTACTCGTATTGTAAGAAGTACGGTGACGCCTGCAAAGTGTTTGATGAAATTCCTGTGAAAGACACTGTTGCTTGGAACACATTGATTACTTGCTACATGAAAAATCGCCGCCGTCGTGATGCCTTGGGTGTGTTTGATATGATGCAGAGTTCTAATGGTTGCCAGCCAGATGATGTTACTTGTCTGCTGGTACTTCAGGGTTGTGCACAGCTAAACACATTGGAGTTTGGGGAAAGAGTTCATCAATATATCGTAGAACATGCTTATGGGGATGCAATGAATGTTTCTAATATGCTTATAACAATGTATTCGCGTTGTGGGTGTGTGGAGAAGGCCTACGAGGTGTTTCGAAACATGCCTAGGAAAGATGTTGTGTCTTGGAGTGCCATGGTTTCGGGTTTGGCAAGTAATGGCTATGGTAGAGATGCTATTGAGGCTTTTAAACAGATGCAGAGAGCAGGCGTGGCGCCAGATGATCAGACTTTCACGGGGGTTCTCTCTGCTTGCAGTCACTCTGGCCTTTTGGACGAGGGGCGCATGTTGTTTGATAGAATGAGCAGGGAATTTAGGATTTTGCCTAATGTTCATCACTATGGGTGTATGGTTGATCTCATGGGCCGTGCCGGTCTACTTGAAGAGGCGTATGAGTTTGTAGAGTCGATGAGAGTCAAGCCGGATGCAACAATCTGGAGGACACTTCTGGGAGCTTGTAGAATTCATCGCAACCCTGCCCTCGGTGAACGAGTTGTTGAACATCTGATTGAGCTCAAGGCACAAGAAGCCGGAGATTATGTGCTATTATTGAATATGTATTCTTCAGTGGGTGATTGGGAGAAGGTAGTGAACTTGAGGAAATTGATGAAAGAAAATGGAATCCATACAACCCCGGCTTGCAGTACCATTGAAATGAAGGGCGAAATACATGAATTCATTGCGGACGATGTTTCACATCCTAGGATGACCGAGGTTTATGAAATGCTGGACGAGATTAATAGGCAACTTAAAATTGCAGGATATGTCGCTGAAATAACATCAGAGCTGCACAACACGGAGGTGGAAGAAAAGAGGTTTACATTGTCTTATCACAGCGAGAAGTTGGCAATAGCTTTTGGTGTTCTCTCAACTCCACCCGGCACAACAATTAGAGTTGCTAAAGACCTCCGGATTTGCGTTGACTGCCACAACTTTGCCAAGATTTTGTCTGGGGTCTACAACAGGGCAGTAGTTATTAGAGATCGCACCCGCTTTCACCATTTTAGAGGAGGACGCTGCTCTTGCAATGACTATTGGTAATCTAAAATAGTTCTTCAACACATGATTGCACACATAGGATGCCCAGAAACTCAGAATGAGCGTATGGAACAACAAAGTTTTAAGAATTTCCCTTCTGGAAAGTTACGGGCAATGTCATCAAATTGTTGTGGCAGCCAGAAGAAGGTATGCATTTTAACTGATTTAGCTTTCGAGATTTTAAATTGTCTCTTGACTATTGGTAGATGAAGAGGATAACTTAAACAACTTTCAACTATCAGGGAAATCAATACTATAGAGGATATTTTTACAGAAGAAATATAGAATAAGGAAATCTGATTGGTTAGGATCTCTTGCATAGTGAAGTTGAGATGGAAGTTGATGTAGTTTGTCACTGGATTAGAGGAATGGAAACTGCATTCTGTAATGTAAGATACTCTGATGGAGAATTGAACTTGTTGGAGCAATGGTTCAGCTATTAGGTATTACCATGGTGTTTGCTTCTTGGTGTCCTATGGCGAGTGTAACCCAATTCTAAAATTAAAATTCAATTTTAATTTCTAATTTTTATACACTTAGCTTAGGATTTTAGGTCTTTCTTTCTCAATTGTCGCTTATGACTTTCCGTCTTTTTATTGTTCAAGTCAGATTTGTTCTTCACGGCGTCACAATCACAAGTTCAACATTGCGTTGAAGATGAATGAAAAGTTATAATTTAAATTTGTCTGAATTTTAAATTTTAAATTTGTATTTTTAAAAAAAAAAATGGATATTTGGTTGTCGTTTTAATAGAATGCTTGAAAATTTGTAATTTTGATTTTTGAATGCTTGAAATTTTATATTATAATTTATTTTATTTTTTTTGGGAAATAATTTATTTTTTTTTAAACTTAAAATCTAACATCCTATCCGGCAAATTATATCGTGCACTGTGGTGCATAATCGATTATGCAACGCCCATCAAAACGACATCGTTTTGTTTAATAAAAAAAAAATGGCATCTGTTTCCCTCTGTTACGCACCCTTCTGCAAAAAATAACTCTGTTATTCAGTTTCATTTTGTATGCACTGCATTTTCGGTTCAACACAGCTGTAGTTTCATTTCGATATAACTATAGTTTCATTCGATATTTATAGACTCAAATATGTGAAAATATTATTTTGTTTTATTTTATATACATATAGTTTTATTCAAACACAACTACATGATCATTTTGATATAATTACAACTTCATTGTACAATATACACTCAAATATGTGAAATGTTATTCAATTTCATTTCACCTCAAATGAAACTGTTAAATTATGCCTCTATGTCCTAGTTTACCCTGTGTTTGAGGGGGAGTATTAGGACTCTATGTATTTGAGTGAGATTATAACTTCATATCCTAATCTCCCTGTGATTCCCTTACTATATATATTAATTAGTAATTCACCTGCGCGATGCACGGGAAAAAAATTATGTTATTATAATTATAAATAAAAAATAAAAAAATTAAAATATTTTAAATTGTTTAATATAATAATATTTTTGAGCTTCCATTAGTCAAGTATTTATTATTTTTATAGAATACAAAATTACAATTAAAATTAAAATTAAAATTTTGTATAGTTAATATAATCTCTAATTATATGCATATTCAAATAAACTTATAGAGAGAATTTACATAATTACATTGATTTATTCTTAATTGTATTTCATCTATATTATATTTTTCACAATACGAATAATAACTAAGATAATTACACACTGCTGGAAATTATGGAATTTTCGACCATCTGAAAATGATCTTAAATCAAGTCGAAATTATGGAATTTCTGAATTTTAACACATAGAACGCATCACAAATCAGTATATAAAAGTATTTAGTTGATGATGTAAAGAGCTTGGCATATGAGATTGAGGATGTACAGTTCTGTCATGTTAAGCGATCTGCGAATTGTGCTGCCCACGCTGTTGCTAGGGAGGCTTTTTCTGTGTCAGGTTGCAGTGAGTGATTGGATGAACCACCTGCTTTTCTTGTTGACATTCTTGCTTCTAATTTAATGAATTAAACTTTCTCTTTCAAAATATATATATATATATATATATATATATATATATATATATATATATATATATTGTAACATATTTCTAACTCCTAATCCTCTCAAACGGCAAATTAGCGTATCTGCAATATATTTACCATGTTGTAACAGAATTTTTCCTCTCTCATTTAATGCATCCTTGTCTTGTTACAACACCTTCGGCCTCCGCAGCTTCATGGATGGTTATAGTGCACGTAGTGGAGGCGTGAGATTTGGTCAAGGAGGCTCAAACTATCAGCCCTTTTCTCCCGGAACTACTCCGGAAGCAATTGGAGCATGACTTAGTATAAAAGCACTCGTCTTTATCTCATTGGATCATCTAATTCTCTTGTAATAGCTTGACATAAGCCTTAATATAATCTTGTCTCCGTGACACCAATATTTAATTTTACGTACATTCATTGTCTTTGTCCTTATTTCTTATTATTATTCTATATTTATTGGATTATTTGAGTCAGACCACTCGGCAGAGACGGAGCTAGTGTGGGGGTAGTTGTCCCCACTCCCCCAACCCACCCTTATATATATATATATATATATATATATATATATATATATATATATATATATATATACACATTAGATGTTATATAAAATAAAGGGAAAATGGTACTTTTTCCCCCTAAGTTATATATTTATAGCACTTTTTCCCTCTCAATTATTTATGAAAGCACATTAGCCCCCTCAATTATTTTAAAAGTGGTGATTTTTTCCCCTAATATATTAAATTGACATTTCTACCCTTAAAGTAAAAATTTTATTTATTTTACTTCTCCAACAAATTATTGTGTATATGTAGCGATTACCACGGTTCGGTTCGAACTGAACCGAACACTATAGCAATCGAATTAAAAGTTTTCGGTTATAATTCAGATCTAGAACCCAATATTTAGATTTCAATTTATTAAATTTAAGAATAAAAAAAACTGGATCATGAACCGTGAACCGACGGTTCCGGATCTGGTTCGCGATTTTGAACCGTCTTTATTTTAAAATAGTCTAAACTCAACAATAAATGTATTTTATTTTTTCAGTTCGAAACATGAACCGACCATTCTAGTTCGCGATTTTAATAAACTCTAAATATCGCATTTTGATTATAAATTGTAATTGGAATATTTTGATTTGGTGCTATAATATCTGTTTGGTTTGAACCAAATTATAGTAATAATTTGTTGGAGAAGAAAAATAAATGAAATATTTATTTTAAATATTTATTTTAAGGATAAATATGTCCATTTAATATTTTAGGGGTAAAAAGAGCCACTTAAATAATTTAGGGGGAAAAGTGCTATAAGTATATAACTCAGGGGAAGAAAGTGTCATTTTTCCTAAAATAAATATTTATATTTAAATTATTAATTGTTTGAGTAGCTTAGTTTGTTAAACTTTATTATTTTATGTTAAGATGACCTATGGTCATATGTTCAAATCTCATTAACAACCTTTTTCTTATCTTCACTTGTTTATTTTATCTCTTTCATTCCTTCCCAAGATAAATATTTTTTAGTCTACTTTTATAAATTATTTAATTAACAAATTAAATATTCTTTTAGTCTACTTTTTATGAATCATTCAATTAATGTAATATACAAGTTTATATTATACTTCATGTATTCGAATTAATTTAGTAAAACTTAAAGTTGATCTAACTAAAAAAATTAAATTAAAACGTATTTATGAATATAGTATTATTCAAATTATTTTATCTAATTTTTTATGTTTCATATGTTGTGATATATATTTTCACATTGTCACCCCACTCAAGTATATTTTTGGCTCCGACTCTAACTATCGTGTAATATATCAAAAACATTCTATTGTAATTTATAATATATTTTGTATTTTAACCTTATTATGATTGTTTGATATTTTGTAATTGACATTTCTAACGTTATTTAAATTTCGCCCCCACTCACAATTTTCTAGCTCTGTCCCTGCCACTCGGGCCAATATAATCCATCACATTTATACAGAAAAAACTGCATACAAACTACATAGATAAAAATATTAAACTCACATTTTTTACCCACACATGTAACATAGAGGCATACATAAACACACCGATGCACACAGACATACATATATAGTATCTATATAATTGTATTTTCCGGTCTCATATTTGCTTATGACTATATGCACAAGTAAATTTCCACATTACATGTCCATATATATATATATAATCATAATCAGGTGAGAACCGACGTTAACCTACGGACCTGTGAACTTCTAAAAGATTGCACCACAACTATTACATGATTGCACCGCTTTGGTTCCCAGACATGTCTATATATAGAACCTTGCAGTGCAATCTAAGTGCGGTGCAATAAGGTCAGTTCACACTTGATTATAGAACCTTGCAGTGCAATCTAAGTGCGGTGCAATAAGGTCAGTTCGCACCTGATTATATATATATATATATATATATATATATATATATATATATATATATATATATAGGTGCAGCCAACACATGCATGCTCTCATTGTGGCTTTGGAGTATGGCGATTATTGGCCCCAGAACCAGGATAATCATTCAGCTCAGCCACTACCCTTCTCATAACTATGTTGTCTGCATCCCAACTATTCTCCACCATATCCTGCATCTAAGTATAGTAATTCACAAGAATACATACACACATTAGAATACATATTTGCATTAGTTGACCGTATAATATATAAATCATAAATGTATAATTCAATTTTTAGTTTAAATTTTTAATTGAGATGGAAGACATTTTTAAATTTGATATTAGAGATAGATCCATACGAAAAGTCATCTTCACATGTGTGTTCTTGTATGGTAACAAAAAAAAAAAAAAAAAACTGAAAATTGAATATATATATATATATATATATATATATATATATATATATATATATATATAAATGAGAGTGTACATGTTTAGTATATAATATATAAATTGTAAATGTAGAGTTCAATTATCAATTTAAACTTTTAGTTATGATGAAACATATCTTTCAATTGTAGTAATAACAAGGCATTTGGCAGGGGAGAATTGCAATTACTTCTCCCAAATTCTACAAAGTGATAAATTACATAGTTTGTTTGGAGGTGAATTTCAATTCCTCCATTTTGTGAAATTGAAACTCCTAAGGCTTCCTTAGGATTCTATATATATGCGTCTTCATAAGAAAGATTAATAGAGTGTTAGGACAAAAATACCCCTCTTATATATAGTATAATTATCGGATTTTTGAGTCGTCGGCCAACAATCTTCTCTTAACACCTGTTAACCTCAACTACATAGAATGTCATCAATGGGATCTTACCACTACACCAAAAGTTATACGGAGTAGCTAGTGGCAAAAACAACTATTTTTTTTATACTTGCATATTAGTTAATGTTGCATTTTGATGATAGGATGTTGAACTCGACTTCCAAGCTGTCACCCAACATTATTTACTATATTTTATTATAGTATTGTAAATATAATTAATTTTAATTTATAATAACTATAATAATGTTATTATAATAATATAATTAGAACACTATTATTATTATTATTATTATTATTATTATTATTATTATTATTATTATTATTATTATTATTATCATCATCATTGATGGTCATTTTGATCTTTATACTACTTATCCCCTTTATAGTTTCCATGTAGACCAAACAAAAATTTTGGTAATTCTACTCTTACTAACCAAACAATAAAATTTAAATTTCTACTTTATTCCATAAAATTCGAATTCCTACTTTATTCCATCACAATTCCTTTCCCATAAAATTGTAATTCATTTTTTTTTTTCCAATTCCATCATTGAAACCAAACACCCAGTAAATGAAATGTGGTCAAACTAATTCATGTGTTTTTAATTATTAACATAAATAATAATTACAAATCATATCAGATTGATGTTACAAAATTGTATGCCAAAAAATGTAATTTAAATTATTATATAAAATTCATATATTAAACACAAAAACTAAATTTAAAAAGTATTTTAAAAGTATTAAAGAAAATATGGAAAAAAGAAATAGTTAATTTAATTTGGCCCGTGAATAATAAATAATGACAGGTAAATTTCCCACCAAAAAAAAAAAAAAAAATGACAGGTAAATTGAGATAGGCTGAGTAGTATTTATGGAAACAAAAGCATAACAATTTTGAATTGCTTTAATCACAGAGCTTAATTACCTTACAACTTATTGTGATGAAAAAATGAATTGAAATTGGAGTAATGTTTAATTTATTTGGGTTGAGAAGCATATATCCATGAAGATTGAGAAAGAGGTACCTTGATGTGGGTATCAATTAATTCATCATTTTCTTGAGATTTTTGCACCAGCCTTCTGCTCCCTGCAATCAATACAATATCAAATTGAAGGGCCAATAAAACATGCATGAATAACCAAGAATATTAATTATTAATGATTTTAATTTGAAAGAATAATTACTTGTAATTGGGATGGCATTCAAGCAAATAAGGTGAGAAAAACAAAGAAGAATGACTAGAAGATGAAGAGAAGTGGTGGCCATAGTTCTAACACCAATAGCTGTGATATGATGAGCCTTCTTGCAATTTGCTTCATTTTATACATGCTTATAGTGGACACTTGCCAACTTTCACTTTGGGGAAAAAAGTTGATTTTTCTATTTTGGAACAATTTGTTGGGGCCTCAAATCACGCAAGTCAAATTAAAGGGAGACAACTAATAAATATCAATAAATTTTGTGGTAGATACGTGCATGTAATTAAATTTGATTTAAATCTAGGTATATCTATATATGTACTATTAAAAAATGACATTTATTAATTTAAAAATATTTTTTTTTCAAAACAATATATACATCATTGTACTACACTACCACAAAAAAAACTTTTAACGTCATTTTTTTTTTCCGACATTGTTATGGTTGATGTAGTAAAACAAACGAAGGTTTAGGGAGAAAAAACAGAACCTCGTCCTTAAGAATGTAAAGAAGAGTGATCTTGCCGGCATTATCAAGGCCGAGGAAAACGATCTTGGCTTCTTTCTGCAACAAACCCAACGACACCAACATGCCATAGACCCAACTATGGCTTGGCGATGGCGGCATCATCGGTGGATTTAGTAGGAAGAAGAAGGAAAGTTTTGCTACAAACTTGGCGACGTTGATGGCGACAGTGATGGCGACAATGACTACAGACTTCTGAATATTTGGAAGAAGATAGAAGACAATTCTGGAAGTGAAAGCTAAGAGTTTAGCATATATTTAAATTTTTGAAATAGAGATATAACATTGATTCTTTTAAAGAAGTGACGTTATATCCCTATAATTTTTTAAATATAATTTTTTTTTTAATTTTTAACACACACGACATCTGTTTGTCTACGAACTAATGCCGCATGTCATATTATTATTATTATTATTTTAAAGAGTATACGACGTCAGTTCACCACGTTGTATATCATTAAATTATTTTTTAAAAAAAATTATTTGAACATACGACGTCGGTTCATGGTGGAATCGACGTCATATGTCATATTATTTTTTATATATATAGAATATACAACGTCGGTTCACCGTGAATCGATGTCGTATATCATTAATTTTTTAAAAATTTTATTAGGAACATATGACGTCGGTTCATGGTTGAACCGACGTTGTGTGTATTAATATATATATATATATATATATATATATATATATATATATATATATATTAGCGCTCAAATGCGACAGTGGCTTTAGGTGCGGCGGTGCGGCTATATTAGCATCCTCCATTTTGCTTAATCTAATGGCAGCGGCTAATTTTTGAAGATTTAAAGATTTAAGCGCGTCCTGGTAAGTGGGGAGTGTTGTGGTAATTGTAGTGGTCATTTATATCGGTCGCGTGTCAGGATACACCAACAGTGTTAACAAAATACACCAATAGTGTTAGGAAAAAACACCACAATGAAATGCACAAATACACCAAAAAACACACAACACACCCAAAAAATACACCATATAACTCACCACCACAATCGTGTATTTCTGAACACTGTGTGATGCTTTTATTCATACCTAATGGTGCGTTCTGGTGATGCGTATCTAATTTGTGCATGTTTTTTTGGTGTGCATTTTCTAACATGGATAATGTATATTTGTATAACTATTAGTGCGCCCGCACTAACCGCATGAGAAGGCGTGGGCGCACCTCAACTTGGCACCAACACGAATCTTCAAATACACCACAGTAAGGTTAATAATGCACCAATAACGAACATAAAACACACAACACTATGATTTGATCTATTCTGGTACCCAATGACGACTTTAACCTTGCAGTTCGCGTAGTGTGAGAACATGCGCGAAAATATCAGAAAAGCTTTGATGAATATGATTCGTTGGATTTATTTAATCTAATGGCCTACAATTAACCGCACCGTCGCACCTAAGTACACTGCCGCACTTGAACCTTCCTCTCTCTCTCTCTCTCTCTATATATATATATATATATATATATATATATATATATATATATATATATATATGTAAAATAATTATTATTTACGACCTCATATATAATTATTATTTACGACCTTTGTAAAAAATTGACGGCGAAAGTAATATATATTATTTTCAGTTTCATAAATTTATTAGATTTAAAGGTGATGGGTTTGTTGTATGAGTTGCAAACATGAATATCGTCAGAATAATGAGTATGCATTGCTTGCACAAATTGAATGATGAAAATATACCAAAAGAAGTGATAGAGAAAGGGCAAAATCAAATCATCGACATATCTCTTTCACTTATATCCAACAGAGAGCTAAGCTAAAGGGAGCCAATGATGCACACTACCTTCAATCTAATTCGCCCAACCAAAGAAACATTTGAAGGCTCAATAAATTCCCCAACTCTGGAGGAATAAATTCTGAAATATGGTTTGTATAAAGCTGCAATTGTACTAAACTTTTGGCATTTGACAGAACACAAGGGACTGAACCAGAAACAGTGTTGTTATTAATTAAACTAGTACGGACCAATTAAATGTTTTAGGAATCAAAGATCTTAGCTGGTGAGGCTCAAACAATTGTTGTTACTACCGCGTCTCCTATGTTTACTTCAATATTCCACAAAGTTGATGAAGTCACAACAGATGCTAGCCAATTAGATGCAGTTGGTGACTTTAGTATCAATGCTCAATTTCAAGCTTAAATGAGTTAGACAATGGCATCGATTCTAGTGGAGTAAGTATTTCTGTTCTACATAATGGTGGCTCTATCCGTGGCAATCTGTATGTGGATTAAAGCCAGGTTTATGCAGCTAAAGCTTAATGAAATCATAAAATCATGAAATCCCCCCGCCCCACACCTGAAATCCACCCTAACATGACTTATAACAATTGCGTGTCATGATTTAAGACCCCACTAACTTATTATCAAAGACTAAATCATTAAATGAAAAGTGTCATGTCAAGAGGGAGATTAAGAGGGGTGGGTAGCATGCATTACTTTATATATATATATATATATATATATATATATATATATATATATATATATATATATATATATAAATAGTACAATATTTGTAAACTAATAATTGTACTATTATATTATAGAAATACATGAGAGAGGCTTAACCTTGTTATAGCCAAAGGATGGAAAGCGGTTAGTGTGAAGCTTGATTTGGAGGTGGTGATGAAGGTCATTCTAAAGGATTTGGATTTGGATCAGGTTTGTTCAATATTGCTTGTGGATTGCAGAAAACTAATTGATGGAATAACTACGGAGCGAAGCAATATGGAGCGGATCACACCCGGCACCGAGTGGACTACGCACGTGACCGGACAAACCATGTAGAGGTCTACCTATCACGGGGTCATCGGCTATTATGCACACGGAGTGACGAACCACCCTGGGGTCGGCCAACATGGGCTCGGCACCCCGGGGTCGGCCAACATGGGCTCGGCACCCCGGGGGTCAGCCACCACACCTGGGTTGGCCTACACGGGGTCGACCACCCTGAGGTCGGCCAACCACCCCGGGGTCGGCCTAGCGTGAGGTCGGCTCGCCGTCGAGCCGACCTCTATGGGCTCGGCCATGGACCGGGTCCTCGCATGGAGCGAGTCCCGCGGTGCGGGCCGTGGCTCCTCCCACGTGACCCGGGCCCGGTCCGGCCAGGGGTATAAAAACACCCCCCAGTGTCCTATTCAAGCATCTTCCACTTTTCGTACAACACTTGTATCGTTATTACACGTCTCGAACCTCTGTAATAGCATTATACACTCAATTAATACAATATTTATTATTTTGTTATTCGTTTATCACATTCGACATATATTCGGGTTGTATAATCCAGACCCCCGGGTTCATATAATCCATCATTGGTGCTTTCATTGAGAGCGGCTGTATAAGCTTAAGCGCTCTCCCTACTATCCTTCATCCGCAGCGATGACAAGATCCGGGTCGAACACCCACAACTCGCAGGACTCACGCAACACGCGCGACCTCTCCCTCGCCAATCACCCCAACGGGACCACGACGAGTCGGCAGACTATGCCTGTGGGGACAGGAGGGGACCTCAGAGACCGGATCAACGGGAACCAGCGGGGGATGGCGTAGGACCTCCAGGGTCGGCTCACCAATGATCGCCCCCAGAGCGGGTCGGCGCCACCCGTCCCATCCTCGATTCCGACTCCTCAAGAGGAGGCAACCGCGCTCGAGCAGGCGGCGACCGCGCTAAACCGCGTCGTGGCGGGGCTACGAAGGGGTGCCCCGGCACCTCCACCTCCGCCCCTTCCGAGGGAGCACGGCGGCCCCATAACTCATGTGCCTCGGGCGCCCGGGATGCCGGCCGATGGAGAAGTCAACTCACCGCAACCATCTGAGAGACGAGGCGAAGCGGAGGCCAGCCGAGGCCGGCACGAGCAACGGGAGGAGAGGACTCGGCCGACCCGGACCACATCCGCGCTCGGGCAATTGGGCCCGCGTGTGCCGGCGCGAGACCGCCTAGGCCCGAGGCCGGCCGTAAATGCTAGACAGGCAGAGTCGTCGTGTTCGCGGAGGTCTTGGAGCAATGAACCTCGTGTTCCGGGGCTACGGGAGCCGACCCCGCTAGTGGAGCGCTCGGGGGAGACCATGGGTGACCTCCGACTCTCCGAGCGCCCAACGCGACGAGATGGAACAGCTACGCATGCAGATGCGCAAGATCGAGGCGCGCGACGAGTCCCCTGAGCTTCGGGACGCCTTGGCTATGCCTTTCGCGAGCGACATCATGGCCGAGCCCCTGCCTTGGGACTTCCGATTCCCGGCCATCAAACCCTACACGGGGGCGACGGACCCACGGGATCATCTCAACAGGTACAAAGCAGTCATGATGATGACGGGTGTCAATGACGCAATCACGTGTCGCAGCTTCTGCACATCCCTGGATGGCCAGGCCCAAGACTGGTTCGGGTCCTTGTCGGCGGAGTCCATCCCCACTTTCGCTGCCCTAGCTAAGAAGTTTATGTCACACTTCGCGGGTAGCATACAACGAAGGAAACAGTTCGCCGATCTGTGCTACCT